TGAATTAAATCTTTCATTGGAGTTATTGAACCTATTAAAGTTATTTTACAGGTTACTTGCTGCTTAGCGATCTACTAGCTTTGATAGCAAACAAGATGTGGAAATGTGTGTGATCATGAACTGACATGCTCCTGTAACTGTGCTGCTAGAGAATTACTTCACACATTAAAGCAGTAGCATTTGTTGTTGCCTTTACCCCTTCTTAGTTAATGTCGCATCTCCATGTTTTTCCCAAATGTACTTCCAACTTCGACTTTTTCAGGACAATTCATGAATTAATCATTGTTCTTTTTGATTGGTTTAGCACTTTTTCAGCTGGTTTAACAAGTGCTTTAAATGCCTTTTACATTAAACAGTGGAAATATATTCAGCTAAACTTGAACATACATATCTTGCAGTCTTGAAAAAAAACATAATGTAAACAGTAGTTTCCTGACAAGGAGAATATCCAAACAATTGAAATAGTTTTGGGCATTTTTCTCTTTCCCCTTTCAGTTTTTTTACAGTAATGCAAAAGTTTATTTCAGTAGACTAACAACTCTTCCTAAATTTGGAACAAATAAAGGTTTATTCCATGCTGAAAAAAGAAGAAAAGAAACACAATGTTTCAGCTGTGGAGCGTTCTTCAGGTTCACACCTTTTCTTGTTTCTTTGCAGCCTATGCATGCTGATGCGGCTACCTACTTCTTCCGAAATTTGACTGAGAGTTGTGGTGTTAATGTAATTTATTTTGTGTTAGCTGTATAAGATTTTGGTCGTTTATTATTATGCTAGTGAAAGCTGTTACAAAAATAGTATTACCAACAAATCAGGATGCGGTTTTCATTTATGCATTTGTACTAAACTTATAGGGGTTATTTTCTAAACCTTAGAACTAGAAGGTTATTAAGTTTATTTGTCATGTCATTCACCAAACCGCTTTATACCATACGGTGTCTCAGGAATCCAGAGCCTACCCGGCAAGCAATGAACACAAGGCAGGGTACACCCTGGACAGGGTGCCAGTCCATCGCAGGGCAAGTGCAAGCCAATCGTACATGGAGACAATTTGGAGGCCACAGTAAAGGACGATGGGGGAAATTTGGCCCTGACACTAGGATAACTCCCTACTCTTATTGAGAAATGCCCAGAGGTCTTAAATGACCAATGAGAGTCAGGACCTCAGTTTAACATCTCATCCAAAAGACTTCCCCCACTGCAGTATAGTGTCCCTGCCACTATACCGGGGCTTTAGGACCCACACAGACCACAAGGTGGGCGCCCCCCACTGTTCCCACTAATACCACTTCCACCAGCAACTATAGCTTCCCAGGATGTCTCCCATCCAGGTACTAACCAGGCTGAACCCTGCTTACCTTCAGTGGCTAGCCAGGTGAGAGCTGCAGGGTGATTTAGCTGCTGGCCCTAAGTTTATGTGGTTCCACATCATTTCATTGTCAGCAGTGCGTCAAATTGTAAAAGGTCATATATGGTTATCTAGTTTTAAAAAGGCAAGAACTTAAATTATATATATATATTAAGCAGGCCTTCACTTTGTAACAAATGTAACTTGAATGTCCTTCTTCTGTTCCCATATAACTCAGTTGTGAATTCTTAATGGCGTGACTCATTATATCTTACACCATGAAAATTACTTTTCATTTTTATTTAACATGCCGGTAATTTGTTTCTATTAAACAATTTTTAGAACTGGTCAGAAGCTGCCTTTTTTCATCTCTGCTAAGTCATTTTATAATTTATTATAACACATATCTTACAAGCCTTACATTAAATAATAAAGTATACTCAGCAAAACATGTACATAGTCTGCTGTAGTTGTGTGGCAACCAGTAGCACAGGAAATATCGTGTGGGTGGAAAGAAGGATTAATTCAACTAAATATCCACAAATCCTAGAAGCTAATGTTCCAGAGTCAGTGAAACAATTGACGCTGAAAAGAAGTTAGATATTTCTGCAAGACACTGATTCAAAACATATCTCAAAATCAACCATTAAGTACTTTTTTGGAAAAAATCCAAAATCAAGAAAAGAAAAATTATTCGCTGGCTACTGGAAATGTTTGGATTTCTACCAATGGAGGTGTTACTAAGTATTGACTCAAGTTTACCCAAATGTTTGCATGTGTTATATTCACTGTTTTATTATTTTGCATATCTACAAAACTGTAAATCACAAGTTGCCAGAAGTACTGTATATGAAAAGCAAAACTGAAGAATAAAATGGAGCCTTTTTGGTGGATGCTGTTGGTGACCACATAATAGTTAATAGTTTTCTTCTTTTCTCCATTTCAAATTCCACTTTTGCAGTACACCAAGTAAACACACAATAATTTAATGTTCATTTCCAATACCATTTAAAAAAATATACCATTCCAATACCAAAAAAAGCGGGGGCAGGGCGGTGGCCCTGTGGCTATGTATCTGCGCTTGTGGCTGGAAGGTTGCCTGTTTAAATTCTGCAGCTGGCAGAGGAATCGTACTCCGTTGGGCCCCTGAGCAAGGCCCTTAACCCCAGCTGCTCCAGGGGCGCTGTGCAATGCCTGACCCTGCACTCTGATTCCAAGTTTCTCTCCCTGTCTGTGTGTCTCATGGAGAGCAAGTTGGGGTATGCGAAAAGATGAATTTCTAATATGAGAAATTGTATGTGGCTAATACACTGATCTTATCTTATTTGTATCCAAGCACCCAGTTTCATCCAGCCATTTCAGCTTGGTACTTTGTTCTATTCACCCTTTATCATTTTTGGAATCCTTCTTCCTCAGTGTGTATGTTCCAGTATTTGCTGAACCTTCTCTTGATGTTGAGTTATCCATTATTTAAACCTGTGGATGTCTTGCATGCATTTTACTTCTAGGACTGTAAATGATTCTCTTTTCTGTAATTCTTCCAGTAAGGTAATATCTAGTTTATAGTGACTAGTACTGTATACTTTTCAGTTGTATTGTGACTCGATACTAAAGAGGAGCAGCTACAGTAAGTACTGTATTTAAATTAGAAATATCTAAGGAAAATTGAGTTTCGAACAACATTGTTGTTCAGAAGAGACATTTAAATGAGCTCCACACAACAGTTCTTTTTGGCACCTGTTGAAAAAGTAGTCTCATATGTTGAGGAAGTTCAAGTCTTGGCTTTCTCAACTCACCCTGCATTCATTTTCTATCTAGTTAATGTGGTGAATTTCTTATTTCTTTTTTCACTATGCAATTAACTGCTGGCACACGATGGCTCTCATGATTTTCCAAAGTGAGTTCTATGGTTCAGTGCTAGAAAATGCAAACTGCATCTTAGCTATAAAACACTGATTCATCTCCACTGGTGTTGTCAACAATATATGTTTTCAATCCCTGTTGAATCTACATTCCTTTCACTACAGTTGTGTATACTTGGTGGCATATTCCAACACTAGAAAGTGAAACAATAGGTTCATAAACCCAAAATATAAATTATTGGAATACAGTCATATTTAGCTATGAGTTTGCAACAATAACAGAAGCAGAAAAGGGTTCTGAGTGTAAAATAATGTATTCATTATTGACTAATTACAATGGGTATAGAAAGTCACCACCCCCTTTAAAATGTTAACCTATGTTGCCCTAAAGCCAAAAAAGAAGACAAATAAAATCAGGCTTTTTCCAGTTTTATTTACAGATTGTATCTTGCAACATCCAAGTGAAAAAAGAAATGAAAATTTCAGAAAAACCATCAAAATAAAAAAAGTAGGATAAGAGAACATCCCTCTGAGTTAATACTTGCTGGAAGCACCTTTTGCTTGATTTACAGCCTTGAGTCTGTTTGGATACATCTCTACCAACTTTGCACACCTAGAGAAAGGAATATTTACCCATTTCTTAATTACAGAATTGTTTAAGCTCAGTCAAACTGTGTGGTGACTAGTGATGCATGGGTTGACTCACACCCTTTTTAAACCTTTTTAGCAAAACATAAACAAGACGAGATGTGGCTTTTTCTTAAGGATTGGCTTTTTTCTTGCCACCCTCCCATACAGGCCAGATTTGTGGAACGCTTGTGATATTATTGTCACATGCACACAATGACAAGTCTTTGCCATAAAGGCCTGTAGCTCATTCAAAGTTGCCTTTGGCCTCTTGGTAGCCTCTCTGATCAGTCTCTTTCTTGCTCGGTCATCCAGTCTGGAGCGACGGCCGGATCTAGGCAAGGTCTGGGTGGTGCCATACGCCTTCCACTGCTTAATGGTGGTCTTGACTGTGCTCCATGGGATACTTTAAGCCTTTTAAAAAAAAAACCTTTTATACCCATCTCCTGACTTGTGCCTTTCCACAACTTTATCTCGAAGTTCTTTTTAAAGCACCTTTCTGCCCATAATGGATTATTTGCTTTGACATGCACTTCCAAGCAGAGGAATCCTCTAGAAACAGCTGCTTTTATTCTGAACTATTCAAAATCACCACAGTTGATCACAGGTGGGAGTCAATTAGTTTGTTGTGTGATATGTAAGGTGTTTGGTTATACCTGAGCAAGTTTACATATGCAATTGTAAGGGGGGTGTTCACTTATTTAAATAAGGTATTTTACTGTTGTAATTTTAATTAATTTTCAGAATGTGTTAGAATTTTATTTTCACTTGGCTAATGTTGGTTACTGTGTACAAATAAAACTGGAACAAGCCTTATTTAATTTGTTTTTATTTTCAGAGTTCTGAAATTTTGTAAAGGGGTGGTGATTTTCTATACCCACTGTATATATTAGGAACAGGTAAAGGTTTATTCCATGCTGAAAAGAGAAGAACATTTTGGCTGTGGAGCCTTCTTCAGTTGTGTGGTTACCTGTTCATTTGCAGCCTACGCATGCTGATGTGGCTACCTATGTGAACTAATTATATATTAGTCATGTGGACAAATACTTGTCAGAGATTAAAGTTCTTTATATATATAAATATAAATCTATTCTTAAATATAACGGTGAACTAAGTTATATTTCAAAGCATCTCATTTGTGATTTTTATTTCTGTTCTGTCTTCAGGGAACTGTCTCACAAATGGAATCCAAAACAAATTTGGGGACACCTAATGCTTAAAAGGTAATCTCTAAGATGTGTTTTGTCAAGGAAATGGAATGATTTATTGGTAGAAGCAGATGTTAACAATTAAAGAAAAGTTACACAAAAATCCCATTGTTTCTTTTGTGGACAAATATGAAATGCAAGAATGGTACTTATGATTATGCTCTTGGTATGGTTTCTCGCTTGTTATATATTCTGGATCAAATAATGAAATTATAGCTGCAAAGTATTTAAGAATTGGGGCTACTTTGTTATTAAATAACTTTGGGCTGTAATTAGCTTCTGTGCAGGGTTATCAATTGAAATGTGATTTTTAAACTGACAGTAAATAATAGTAAACATTTTCAGCATATTGATTATTAACAGTTTTTCTTAATTGAGTGACTTACTGGAAAAGCTAAAACTAAAATAGAAAATGGAACATTAACTCTCACAGATGTGGTGTCTGGATATGAAATTATAATGCTGATATATGTATCACTGAAACAATATTGTTGTGGCTTATCTTTCACAGTTTCACATATGTGCTTGCTATGCCATTTTACTCTGCAAGCCTAATTGAGACTGTCCAGGTAAGTACCTCTTTAATGTACCATCCAAAATCTCTTTAAAGATTCTTTGCAATGTGTTTAGAAATGAGTTGTTCCACTACTTAGTGTAAAGTGGGAATTCCAAACAAATAGAAATGTAAAGAACGTAATATCATGACTAAGCCCAAAGTGGTGGGTTTTGATTTTTTTATAGCAGAAATCATTTCCACATACTGCTCAGGGTTAGTTATTATTAGGTTTCTATAACAACTGCCAGCCCAACCTAACAAGTCCGGACAAGCTTTTTACTCTCCAGGACCTAGAAACAGAGCCAAGACCTGAATGCTTAAGACATGATTGTAAAGACAGTAACTCCCAGGTCACAGCTATTCAGTTAAAGAAATCCAAACTCTAGTCACAGTTCATTCAGTCTCTGCTGATAACTCAAAATAGTTGTCAGGACTACATGTAAAAGTAGAATTAGAAAGTGTATTTCATTCAGTGGTTTGCAAATCATAATCCTCATCTTTAAAAGATGTTGCATGATCCTAAACCTTTTTTTGTTACATTGATAACATGGTTAAAACCCGGCTTTCTAGATTCCTGATTGTCCTTTCCTGAACTGTAGTCATGCAATTATGCACAATGATTACCACACAAATAATTAAGAGATTAATAGAAAAGCCATTTTAAAATTAGCACTTGAAAATCCTCTACAATTAATCACACTTACTGTATCTGTGGTTAGAGAAAATAATACTGATTCCAAACTCTACTAGAAAAGGCACTGGAGTATAGGAGATTAGTTACAACTATAACTAATGTGCTTAAGGACACAATAGCTTCACTTTAACCTGTTAACGTGTGTGGGGGGTGAGGGGGTGGGATTGGGATTTTGTGAATCTTTGAAAGAGCTCCCAATACCCAAGGAGCACAGTGGTCCCTAGACACAGATGGAACTCATTGCTAATTGATTTAATTACTTAAAAAGTCACAAAGGGCCAGACAAAAAGATGTTGCCTTCTTGCAGTTATTAACCTTTTTCCCAGTGCAAACCCCAAGCACTCCGTTTGGCATCTTTCTCGCTGACACTGAACAGGATGAGCCACTTTTAATCACTTGACAGGTGTGTTCAATGTATTGAAAAAAGTTACATCCTTTCAGTCCATGAAGAAATTTTTGAAGAAATTTGAGTTTTTATGATGTTCAAAGCGTAGGAGGAAAAATCAAGTTAAACAGTTATCTAGCATTTGAAATTAAAATGAAACTTCGTCATCTCAGCAAAACAGATGTACATACTGTGCCAAATGTACACACCTATTATGCCAGATCCTCCAAAAAGCCAATGCAGGCAATGACCTAATTGCTGTTGTAATGACTGAGGATACTAGCATAAACGACACTGTCCTGATAAAACAAACTCCAAAACTTCGAAAAGTAGTTGGATAGAAAAAATAACTTAGTCGTTTTCTGAACAATCTTGTCTTGACAAAGGACAGCAGTTGTACTGTATATGTAAACTACAGATAGATAAAGCTTTGATGTACTGAAGAAGACATCGGATTTCTTGGCTACTTGAGACCTTATGATGGGAAAGGCTGTCAAGCTCCAAAATCAAAAACATTTGAACTAAAATGTTAAATATTAGAAACTACTGTAACTTTGGGGGAGAGTTCAAAGCAAACATGCAAGGGAAATTCGAGGGGAGTAGTGTCAATAAGAGGAATCTGCGTAGGGCTGAGCGATATGGCCAAAAACATTATCACGATAAAACATTTCATATCAGTTGATATTGATAATTATCACGATAAATGTCAAATCATTATTTCTTTCAAGTTTAAAGGTAGATTTTTTTCTCCTGAGTGAAAGTTGAAGAAACCAGACAGTTAATTGGTGAATTAAACAACTATTTATTTTAAGAACACATCACTTGCCAAAAAGCAGAAACATTAAACAAATCTGTTAGCTGCCTGGTCTGCAACACACATGCACACTCGCGCAGTATTTAGTGCGCATGCTCGTATCATGCGTAAAACATGAACATTTATCGAACTTTTGTTAAAATTATATTGATGAAAATTATATCGCGATAATTATCGTTATCGAATTATCGCCAGGCTCTACATTCCCCACCCCTGATCTAAGACAAGACATGTAAGACATCAATGACAGAAATTGAAATTGAAGAGACAGCTGATAAACTGAGTAAGAAATTAGAGCAAATGCTGGAAGGAATTCAGTTTTGATTTAGTATTTGATGCAAGAGTGAGGAAACTGGAGGTGAGAGAACCTTTCAGAAACTGTGATAATATTACTGCTCTGAATTATACTTTTAAAAGGTGTAGGTGATCCCCAAGACCCAAGTTTACATCTCATGGAAAGCAAACTGTCAAGGAATGAGTTTGTCCAAAGTACAGTGGGATAGAATTAGTAGAGAATATATGGCAACCGTTGAAAGGTATTCTATTTGAACCACATAACAGATTCATACTATGAGTAACTCAGAGTCAAGAAAGCAGTGCCACAAATGATTAAATCAATCAAGGCAAATATAAGTAGATAGATAACATTTAAAAAATGTGTTAAAAAAAGAATATGATCTGCTTATATATAAAATAATTCCAATATAATATATATCATATTTTTTCAAAAAATAAATATTAGACCTGAGAAAATAATATTGCAGAGGTGGTAAAAAACAGACGTATTTTCCAAATTACAGCAACAAAATAACAGGAGAGGATGTACAGTGTCTGTGAGATAATAATTGCTCATCTTTAGACAATGAAAAGGAAATGGCAAAAGTATTAAATGAATTTAAATTGGGTATTTACCAAGAAAGAAATCAATGACATATCTTGGGCTGCCAATATACAACATTCAATATTAAATAGTATCAGCATTAGAAGAGCAGATCTGTTAGAGGTACTAGAAGCTTGTGATGAAGCCTGATGCTAGAAGTTATACTAGTTTTACTTAATTTAACAAGAAATGTTATCCATTGACCATTAACAAAACTCATCCAGTGGTCACTCGAGAGGTAAAACCCATTTAGTGGAAGATTGCTAAAGTGAACCATCCAAAAGGTGCCAAAACTGAACCTAGAAATTGCAGACCATGGATTGACCAGTAAGTTCTGCACTTTCATTTAAAGAAAAAATGATCACACTGATCTCTCTGCCTGCGTTCTCAATAAAGGGTTTCTTAATTTGTATAGCAGAAAGACATCAGAAACTAAAATCATCCTGAAACTTGGTTCATACCTTCCTCCTTGTCTCAATGACAGGCATGTTTTCTTCTAATTCTCTCTATTCATTTGTAGGCTTCGTTTCATGCCTCTCCTCAGCTCTCTCGACCTCACACCTCTTGATTGGCCACTCTGCCTCACCACTGCTCCCACCTCCTCCTCTATCCTGACCTTTGTTTTCCCATGTTATATTATCTTTGCTGACTGCCCTATCTTTCTTTCACCTGAAGAAGGCTCCACAGTCGAAATGTTGTGTTTTCTTTCTTCTCTTTTCAGCATGGAATAAACTTATTACTTATTCCATTACTGTTCATCATTTACACTACATACAGTATATTTATCTTCAGTATTCAACAATAATGAATTGTTGGACATATTGTTGGACACTTTATTCAACAACTAGAGAAAATGTTTATGCAGAAACACACATCAGTAAACTGCGTGACTGCAATGCAAATTCACTAGGCTCTGGGATAAGTAATTAGCATCACTTGTGAACTTGTGCCTGATGGATTGATGAGGAAACACCAGCTGTAATGTTAAGTTTAAAGCCCGTCTTGTTTGCTAATTAGACATGTACATAAAGGTTTGCAATTTAAATTACATCGTGATTTTTTAGAATATGGTTTGCAGCTGTATAAATTGCATTACAAAACATATTCCCATTATGTAATCATCCCAGAAATGAGTTTCCTATGTAGAAAACTATGTAGAGATATATAGAGTAATGTATGACCCTGAAAGATTAAATAAACTGAATCTTTTTAGTCTAGAGCAGAGAACATAGTGAAGAGATCAGATTCAGAATCCTCAAAGGTTTTGACAAAGTCAATCTATAGGTTTTGTCTAAAACAACAGTGGAACACAAACCCCAATAGAAACTACAAAGAAGAGCATTTAAAGTAAGAGAACAGCTGGCAAGCCATGATGTATCAAAGCTGATATCATACTTTAATTCACGAAAAAAGGCTGAAGTCCTTGGATCTCTGATTTGCTAACAGCCCAACCAAATAAATTGAATGTCTCCCTGTAGATTTTTAACCTTTTTAAATGTTACCTTTTTTTTCCTGATTTGAGCTGTTTTCTGGCAGAAGACTAAGTTACATGTATTTAACAGTTTTTTGTGAGTGTTTTCCTTTGTTATGTTTTCAAAATCAGGAGCTAAATTTTCTTAAAATGTTCAGTAGCTTGTTGTCTGAAACCAGCAAGCTTTACAAAGTCTAATCTGTGCACACTGCTACGGATTTCGATATTTTTGTTTAGTTATACCTCTCCGGAATGTAAAAGAAATTTAAAATGCAGTTGTGTGGTTAAAAGCTTCAAGCTCAAGAAGTGTGGTGTCATTGGCAGAGTGAAATAATCCGGGACAACCCTGGAATCCTGGACTGCGTCAAAGAAGGCGTGGGCCGGATGATCGGATTGGGAGTGCCCCACAGCAAGCGACTCCTCCCTCTCTGGACGCTGGTCTTTCCCACTGTCCTGCATGGAGTCCTTCATTACATCATCAGCGCGACGATTCAGAAGCTGGTACTGTTTCTCTTGCGTAAAAGGAGCTCACCACGACGGGCAACAGATGGATCTGAGACCGTACAGACCATGCTGGATGCTTACTTCCCAGAACTAATTGCAAGCTTTGCAGCCAATCTCTGTGCAGACATCTTGCTGTTTCCACTGGAGACTGTGCTGCACCGCCTTCACATCCAGGGGACACGCACCATCATTGATAACACAGACCTTGGCTTTGAGGTCCTCCCCATTAACACACAGTATGAAGGAATGAGAGACTGCATTAACATCATCAATCGAGAAGAGGGAGTACTAGGGTTTTATAAAGGCTTTGGGTCGATCATTGTGCAGTACTCGTTGCACGCTGCTGTTCTGCAGATTACAAAAATTATTTACTCCATGTTGTTGCAAAATGCCTGAAAACAGAAGTGTACTCCTTCACTTATTGTACATTGGTCCTTTTGTAAAACTACTGATTTGTTTTGGGCTGTGTGAAATAAGTAATTGCTATGGACATATTTCATCTACTAATATCCTCAGAGGTTTACTGGAAAAGATACTTGTTTTCTCCAGGAGCATTCGCTTCATGGTTCAAATCTTTGCTTTCAGTCAGTCACATTTGTTTTTTAAATTATTTTCCAAATTAAATATTTATGTTTATAATCTTAAGTGAACTGGCATTTTCATTCATCTTCTACCATTTATAAGTCTTGATATTTATTGAAATCCCCTTATTAAGTATATTTAATTTGCAAATGAACAATTTAACAACTACGGCTAACAGTTATGAAATAAGTAGTACTGATTTTTGGCAAAGTTATTCTTCAGTCTTTTACATTTTCTAATGTTCACATTTTTCCCCCCACACAAATGTCTTAGACTAAATCATGTGAACATTCTGGGTGTCTTTTCCACATACCATAAAACGTACTCGGAAAAAGGTTTTATGATATGAGAGTTCCTAATGTGCCAATCATCTCTCTCACCCCTGTTAGCACATAATGATGGTATACTCTTTTTGATGTTCAAATCTTTGCGAATTCTGAAAATCTACAATAGTGAAGAGCATAGCTTCTGTCTCCTATAATGTGTTTGCACTTCGGGCCCTAATAAAGTGGTACTTGTGGTATTGGTATTAGTTTTATTTTTTGCATCAATGTAAATTCATTGTAAATGTTTCTATAATATGAACATTGATATAGCACTGACTGAACAAATGCACACTTTTCCAGTTGGATTAATGAAGTTCAGGGATTTTAATTAACATACAATGTTATTTCCCCCTTTTACTGCTGCTTTAGCGTTTGTTGTTCGTGCTGCTTTATGCTTAAATGATGTACAGCTCTGTGTTTATTTGTGAACTCTTCCTCAAATAAATTTCTGCAAATATTTTTTGAGATTTTTTTTATATTTTGCTGGTGCAACATACTGTATCTGTTGTGTCGTAGTTCCATTAATGCCATACTCTCAGTATAAGTGAAATCAATCCTACTTTGTTTTGCAGTATATTAATAAAAACAAATTATATCTTAGTATGGAGCATTTATTTATTTACAAGGGCATATAGGCACTGAAAGATTGAACGATTTTGTCTGAGTAGATTGCATAAGGAATAAATTGATTACTCTACCAGTTATATCAAGCATGGCGTGTGTAACAGATCTAAGACATAGGTCAGATGTGACCAAATGAAACAGAATAGCTTGATTACACTATAATCCTTCAAGAACTGTGTAGATGTTATGTTAAAATGGATTGCCGAATTTTAGATTTTAGATTTGAATCAGAATATTTTGGTATGCTTGGGATTAATCTAAAACTCACAACTGGCAAACCACTGACGCTAAGGAGGTGTGAGCCTGGCCAGTACCTGGATTGGAGACCTCCTGGGAAAAACAGTTTGCTGCTGGAAGAAATGTTAGTGGGGCCAGCAGGGGGTGCTCACCTTGCAGTCTGTGTGGGTCCTAATGCCCCAGTATAGTGACGGGGACACTGCACTGTAAAAAGGTGTCATCCTTCGGATGAGATGTAAAACCGAGGTGGTCAATAATATACTCAGGACGAAAAGAGTAGGGGTGTAACCCAGGTATCCTGGCCAAATTTCCCATTCGCCCTTACCAATCATGGCCTCCTAATAATCCCCATCTATGAATCTGCTTCATTACTCTGTTCTCCTCCCCACTGATAGCTGATGTGTGGTGAGCGTTCTGGCGCACTGTGGCTGCCGTCACTTCATCCAGGTGGATGCTGCTCATTGGTGGTGGTGGAGGAGAGTCCCCATTACCTGTAAAGCGCTTTGAGTGGAGTGTCCAGAAAAGCGTTATAAAAGTGTAAGCAATTATTATTCATTATAATAATTATTATAAAATAATATTTTAAAAATTAAGGGTAATGTGCCCCAGTGATCATGAAGTACTTAAAGAAGGAAAGAAAATGTTTTGAATATCTTGCACAGATGTAAAAAAAAAAAGAAAGTAATGTATAATGTCTTGCAAAAGTATTCCAACCCCTGGACAGTTATGATTCAATAAGTAAAAAATGTCATCAATGAAGAAATATTCAAATCTTTTGCTGTGAAAACCCTAAATTTGGGTTCACAAAATTACCTTTGCAAGTCTCAAAATTATTTTAGTGGACGAGATTCCTTGGTCAGGTAGTGAATCTCTAGCAATGACTGAACTATGAAGACTAAAGAGCTTTCAGAGCAAGCTGAGACTATAGCAATTGAAAAGCAAGGATAAGGAGAAGCATACAAAAAAGTCTGAAGTCTCTGAATATGGCTGTGAGCTCAGTCTACTCAAGAATCAAGAAATGATGTGTCATACAACTGTATGCTCCAAGATCACACTATTCCTCCAAACTGAGCAACCGGACAAGGAGGAAATGGGAGAGGAAGGCTACTAAGAGGCCAACAACAACTTTGTCAGGACCATCAAGAACACTTCATAAAACTATATATAGCATGGTGGCAAAAAGGAAGCCATTAATAAGAGTTAATAAGTAACTCAGACCAACATGGAAGTTTGCAACAAAGCATCTGACTGATCGTACACAAATGTGGTCGGTTGCCAAAAGTTACATTTGGCCCAGCAACAAAGAAAAATTCACTTTTCAACAGCACAATCAAATTTAATATTACTCATTTGTTAACTGAACAAAAACATAAAGGTATTTGAACAAAAAACTAGAACCTTTTAGTTGCCATTCAAGAAGTGGTAATCTTGCTGACTTTGCTAACCTTAGAGAAGTAAATGCAGATATAAGTAGGGAAAATTGTCTTTGTATCAGCTGAAAATGTCTTCATTGACACACCCATAAAAATTAATTTTATTCATGCCAATTCAAATAATTATTTTTAGCCACAATCATTTTGGAACTGCCACATTTAATCACCACATTAATACTGCTACTAGCAAAGGATGAATAAGGTCAGTGCACAAGTATGTGAAATACATTTGCTTGAGCTACAGTTTACATATTGGGGGTAGATAATTGATACACCTATCAAAATCACACCTTGGGGCTCCAATTCTACTGTAAGCTATGTACTAGTTAACTGGCTAACTCAAGCCTATCCAGCAACATCGTACCCTTCAAGCAGGAATTAGATGTATATATTTTTGTCTGTCATAAATATGTTTGACAGAAAACTTAAAATTGAAAGCTGGATGGATAAAAGGGGTTCTCATGATAAGTTTTGTTTACAGTGGAACAATAAAACTCTCAAACAAATCCCCAGAAATATTTTATTGAATTCAATCTTTCATTTGAGTTATTTAACCTATTAAAGTTATTTTACAGATTACTTGCTGCTTAGCGATCTACTAGCTTTGTTAGCAAACAAGATGTGGATGTGTGTGTGATCATGAGCTGACATGCTCCTGTAGCTGTGCTGCTAGAGAATGACTTCACACATTAAAGCAGTAGAATTAGTTGTTGCCTGTACCCCTTCTTAGTTAACGTTGCATGTCCATGTTTTTCCCAACTGTACTTGGTGCAGTACTGTTCCAACTGTGACTTTTTCAGGACAATTCGTGGATTAATCATTGCCCCTTTTGATTCGTTTAGTGCTTTTTCAGCTGGTTTAACAAGTAAACAGTACAATATACTCAGGTAAACTTGTACATACTCATCTTGAAGTCTTGGAAAAAAAACATATAATGTAATCATGACATGTTCCTGAGTATGATTCTGACAAGGAGAGTATCCAAACAACTGAAATCGTTTTGTGCATTTTCCTCTTTTTCTTTTCAGTTTTTTTTTTAACAGTAATGCAAAAGTTTATTTCAGGAGACTAACAATTCTTCCTAAATTTGTAACAAGTAAAGATTTATTTATCCTGCTGAAAAGAGAAGAAAAGAAACAACGTTTCGGCTGTGGAGCCTTCTTCAGGTTCACACCTTTTCTTGTTCCTTTGCAGCCTATGCATGCTGATGCAGCTACCTACTTGAACTACTTCTTCCAAAATTTGACTGAGAGTTGTGGTGTTAATGTAATTTTTTTGTGTTAGCTGTATAAGATTTTAGTTGTTTATTATTATGCTAATGAAAGCTGCTACAAAAATAGTATTACCAATAAATCAGAATGCAGTTTTCATTTATACACTTGTACTAAACTTATAGGGGTTATTTTCTAAACCTTAGAACTAGAAGGTTATTAAGTTTATTTGTCATGTCATTCGCCAAACCGCTTTATACCATACGGTGTCTCAGGAAACCAAAGTCTACCCGGCAAGCAATGAGCACAAGGCAGGGTTCACCTTGGACAGGGCGCCAGTCCATCGCAGGGCAAGTATAAGCCAGTCATACATGGAGACAATTTAGAGGCCGCGGTAAAGTCCGAGAGGGAAAGCAGCAACCATAACTTCCCAGGAGGTCTCTCATCCAGGTACAGGCTCAACCCTGTTTAGTTTCAGTGGGTAGCTAGGTGAGAGCTGCAGGGTGATATAGCTGCTGGCCTTGTTTATTCAGTTCCACATAATTTAATTGTCAGCAGTGCGTCAAAGTTTAAAAGGTCATGTATGGTTATCTAGTTTTGATAAGCTAGAACTTAAAATATATTAAGCAGGCCTTCACTTTGTAACAAATTAAACTTGAAAGTCCTTCTGTTCCAATATAACTCTCAGTTGTGAATTCTTAAAGGTATGAATCATTATATCGTATACCATGAAAATTACATTTCATTCTCATTTAACATGCGGGTATATTTAAGTTTCTGTTGAACAATATTTAGAACTGGTCAGAAGCTGCCTTTTTTCATCTCTGCTAAGTCATTTTATAATTTATTACAACAACTTAAGCCACTTACAAGACTTACATTAAACAATGAAGTATACTCAGCAGAACATGTACATAATCTGCTGTACTTGTATCTTTAAGAACTTAAAAATACAAGTATTTAAAACATTTAAAATATTAAATATGTAACATAGAAGAGTCATATGTACATGTACATTGGAATGTATGGTTCAAAATATACACCCACTCCCTGGATTATATTCAGCTATTTTTTTATTAGCTGGAAGCAACCCTTTCTTTGCTGTAGTGTGAACACACAATAGGCACTCTCGGTCTAGTTGTATGTTTCAGTGAATCTCAAATAAGAAGTTGACACACCCGTGGTACAAACATAAATACAACATCCTTCTGCATATTTTATGCATAATTACTATTTACTTGCCGAATTTAACAGATTGGAAAAAAGTGAATGTCGGATATACATAAATCTGGGCACCTTTCAACTCAAGTGAAATAATAATAATAATCTTACCAAATACTCTGACCCTTCTAGCCTCTCAACAACCTATGCAACTGTCTGAGGACTAAATAATGATAATTCACTGTTACAAAGCAAGAGAAGGCTATAAAAAAATCTTTAACCACCTCCAGCTTGCAATTTCAGCTGTCAGAAACATCATCAAGAAAAGGAAGTTAAAGGGAACTGTTGAAGTAAAGGCAAAATCTGGAAAACCTAGAAAAATCTCTGATAGAACTGCCAACTGTTTAGCATGCAGTGGATCTAACATGATTTGGAGTTGTGTGGCAACCAGTAACACGGGAAATATCATGTGGGTGGAAAGAAGAATAAATTCAACTAAATATCCACAAATACTAGAAGCTAATGTTCCAGAGTCAGTGAAATGAATGCTGAAAAGAGGTTAGATATTTCTGCGAGACACTGATTCAAAACATATCTCAAAATCAACCATTAAGTACTTTTTTGGAAAAAATCCAAAATCAAGAAAAGAAAAATTATTCGCTGGCTACTGGAAATGTTTGGATTTCTACCAATGGAGGTGTTACTAAGTATTGACTCAAGTTTACCCAAATGTTTGCATGTGTTATATTCACTGTTTTATTATTTTGCATATCTACAAAACTGTAAATCACAAG